AAGTAATGTTTTTATTTTGTTTGTTAGTTTGTTAGCATCGTGTTTGCTTTCAGCTCAAGGAGCACTTCTTACGCCTAAGTTCTTTACCACTGATTCATACTCTGCACTTTTGTATTTGTGCTACCTTTAGGAAAAAAGCCCACTGAATTTTTTATGAATAACTATGTATGTTTCTTCAAGCTGCCTCTATGGTACATTTTTTTTCTTGCAAATTTCTTATCAGTCACATGCTAAAAAGCAATCCCGTTCTTACAGTTATCAAGAGGGACACTACACAAAGCTGCAATCAACGGTCGATGTGACGTCATCAAAGTACTTCTTGAAAGTGGTGAAGATGTCGACCAAACAGATAAGGTTGTTTGCTTTATCTTCTGGTTTATACAGTTTACTTTCTGATGTCTCTGTTCTCTCTACATTTATATTCGTAGTAGATTGGTTGAACTTGTAGTTAATGGTTTGCTTTTATTTTGCAGTTTAATTTGACGCCTCTTCACCTTGCTGCATGGTATGGACAGAGAGCTGTTGTAAAACTCTTGTTACACCACGGTGCAAATGTCAATGCTGTAGATAGGGTAAGTTGCCGGCCCATTGTGTTTGTGTATTTGACAACATTTCGAAAACATTAATACCAATTTTCAGGCACGCGGTTATATTGGCAAAGAGTCGCATAACATCTCAAAAATACTTCTCAGTCATATTTTCCCATATCTAGGAATGTTCGTCTTCCAGAGCGGTTTGCAATAACTGTCTTGCTTTGACCAGGGTGAACTTTTTATCCTTCAGTTTCAGAAAACAGCTCTACAAAAAGCTTATCGCAACAATCACCGAACCATAGTTGAGCTGCTCCTGAGGAATAAGGCGAGTCCCAGCTACAACCAACCGGTATAGTAGTACATGCTACTTCTATGATTTGTAACCGCACATAGTGGAAACAGGCTAAGTCGTTTTGATTCAGTAAAAGCTTCTTTTCATTTACCTTGTTTATTCCTCTTTCGTAATGCCTGTCAAACTTTGTAAGAGGTTCACATTTGGCCTCGACCTGCCTCGGCGTCTTAGTCCGTTAACAGCGATGCGTGGGTTGATTTGTTAATGCATGCGTGTGGTGTGAATCGTCTCGAGGGCCCGGTTGTTCAAAGGGCGGATAAGGCTATCCAACGGATAGATCGCTATGCAGTAAATTTGACACGTGCCAAATTATCCGGTGGATAGCATTAGACGCCCTTCGAAAAACCTGGGCTAGGCCCGGCCTTTAACTCCAAGCTCGGGTTACAGGCGTTATTTGATCCATCTATTTCCCGTTGTGTTCAGTTGAGGTTCTGCCGTCTAATTTTCTCCAGTTGATTCACTGACATGGCTTTCAGCAATCAAGATCTTCGTCTGCATACATAAGAAGTTATGCCCAAAGATTGTGTTTTGTTTTTAAGTAGTTGTGAACTCCAATTGCTTTTTTCCAATCATTTGGCTCGTTATCGTTGCTCGTATTTTTCTCGAATATGCATCGTATTGAGAAGTAAAGGATCCATATGGAAGATAACCATTTTGTCTCGATCTCCAATGGGTGTGATCCAACATTAGCATGTCTTGCGTTCTCAAACATGAACCTTTTAACTCATGGACAAGATCATAGTTTTAAATCTAGGTGGAGCTCGTTTAGAGAAGTCAAATTTATATTAGTCTTGTACTAGTTCGTTTGCTGCGCTGATTTACTGTATACATCATCTTTCATTACAGCCTAGCCTCAAGTCTCTCTCAGAAAAAGCTTTTCTGCACGTAGATATACGATCCGGCTTCAATCGACTACACGCGGCTGTATTTCATGGTGACTATGACACCTTTTGGAAAACTCATGCCTATCTTGATAATTACGTTCAAGACATGAGTTTTCAAAAAACAGGAAGCCAAGCAAAGGCTTTCCCTGGAAAAACTGCGTTAGAAATTCTCTTGGCTCAGCAAGAAAAAGGAGAAGGAAATTTTGGTATAGAAAAAATGTACAAAGAGATCGTTGAGACAATCGATACATTAACTGA